TAATAAAATACAAATAAATTACCCAAAAAACACGTCTTATTTCTGAATGTAGCTTACAGTATGTTGGCTAATGAAACCAATACACTCAGGGGTGTTTCTAGAAAGATATAGTATGAGGTGATACTGTGGGTGTTTCTCAATGTCGAGTACGCTTGCTTGGTAGCACATGTCTTCCGAGCATCTTCCTTCAGAAGCGAGTAAAGAATACTTCCTGACATTCGGAAAACAAAGAGTGGAACAGGCGAGCAAGTGTGCAGGTGTGCGTCATATGAGAGGCCCCGCCCCTTACATCTTCCGCCACAGATTTGGGGAAATTGGTCCGTGCGCAAAGCATTGTGGGGATTTTAAGACCGCGGAGTCTACTCATGTGCAGCCTCGAAATTTCTCGCTACGCCGGGTATGCTGGACAGTGGAACAGGCCCTCGGCGGCACTCGATGACGTAGTATGCTTGAAATAGTGGCTCTGGAGCAGCCTTCCTCGACATTGAGAAACACCCTGTGTCTCTGATCTTGTTTATAAGACATATCAATTATCTCCAGAACATGTCGCCCGTATACAAGATGGTAAACAACAACAACAACTACAACAACGTGACGTCGGAGCTCCGTGAAAACACAGCCGTCTGACGCTCTGTCTGATACTCAGATTTCTGGAGTCATGAGTCAGTTTTTGAGGAACAGAAATATTGTTTTCTGGCATCACGTTAACATTTTACGGGGAAAATCTGCATTTTAGTAACAGGCGCAGCGCTCCTGTTACCCAGGCAGAACGTACGATTAATGGTTTGTTTTTGTTTTTCTTGCAACTTGATTGATTTTAATTAAGATTTAATTTGCTTCAGGCGGGAAACCTGTGAGGAAACAACATTTGACGGTTGAGCGAGATCATTTTCTGGTTAAAATACACTTTTTAATTAGAGTCTGTGAGGATTTAATGTAAATGGCTGTAGGACCAACACAGCGTCCAGTAAAAGGAATAAAATCCCTTTATTTGTCTTTGTTTTTGACCATTAATTGAATTATTGTGATGATGCTCATGGCGGCAGGGCTCTCTATGAAAGGCGTAATGTCTCTGAGTGATATTTCTCAGAGCAGGAAGTGTTTGAATCACCAATTATTCTCTAATCTCTCTCAGATCTTGGAACATCAGCTTTAATAAGCGTCTGCTGAGGGGAAACGGGAACGTCGGGATATCCTGGAAAACCCATTAATGCCTCATCGCAGGGAAGTGTTGTTATAATGAGATTAACGTGTATGTGTGTGTTCAGACACAGACGTACCATAGAAGAAGAAAAGGAGCAACGGGTCAGATAGGACTCTGAGCTGATGGATAAATCTACCATTAATCAATATATAAAAAACACTGGAAGGTAGGGTAAAAATGTGTATAAATATATGTGACCCGCTCTGTGGAAATCAGTCGGAAGTCGCAACGGCTCATTTCAAAATAAACGTGGATTTGCGTAAAAAACTAGTTTTTCGGGGTTCGGGTGTTTTGTTTGATTTTAAATAAACAAAGTGTTGGCTTTCAGAATATGAAACTTTTATTTCCAAAATCACACGATAAATACATTTACAGCTTGTAAAGGGAAGAAGACAGCTCTCACTCGCACTCTGCTGTTCCGCACGCCGCCCCCCCTCCCTCCGGCTGACATTATGAATGTAAGGCGTATAGTAATCATAGATAACACGGCAGGGTCCGTTACAGTTTGATTTCATCTGATTTCAAATAAACAAAGTCTTGGCTTTCAGAATATGAAACTTGTTTCGGCAAATTCAGATGATAAATACAACTTTGAAGCTTGTAACGGCATAATTACAAGCGGAGAACGGAGTAACTTGACGTCACAGCAGGCGTAACAACAGCCGGTGTTTCTCCTGAGTGTTTTCCCCGGGAAACAAACACAATACACACAAACGCAAAAATACACAAACACACACACGTATACACACACACACACACACACACACACACACACACACACACACACACACACACACACACACACACACGCTCGCGAGCTTCCCCCAGACCAGTAATCCAAACGAAAATATCTTCCCTCCGTAGTATTTTGATCATTTGCTAATAACCAATCAGATCGATGGATTCCAGAGAAGAGGAAACTTTGAAGGCCTTTTTCTCAAAATGATGACTCCAACAGTGTATACAACTCAAAATGTGTCTTCGGGTCAATGCGACTGATTTCGATGGAGCAGGTCACATATGGTATAATACAATATGTAAAGAAAAAATATGCATTAAAAAGATAAATAAAATACAAATATTTATAAAAACATAAGAAAGAGATGTGCAATAAAAAAATATATATAATATAATACAAATATTCATATTAAAATAAAAAGTTAAAGTGTGTTGTATATGTATAAAAAATAAATATGTAAAGTGCGTGTACTAATATCTCTTTGGTCATTATCTCTAAGCTATTTAAATACTAGCTGATTGATAGTTTTTTAGGGGGCATAGAATAAAAGACATGATAAACGGTGTGAAGCTTGGAAATGCAGGGATCAGCATTACTTGACTTTTAGATTGAATTATTAATTGTAATTATATGTCATCTCCCTGTGTTGCAGGGATACTTCGTGAGGTTAAAGGGACAGGTGCGTTCAGGTGTTTAAAAGACGACTGCAGGTCATTCATTGTAGTTTAGAAGCTTATCAGCGCAGCAGCTGGGTTACAATTAAAACCCTCAGCAACCAATTACAGCAATTAGACAGAAATCCACTTATGTATGGAGCCATGACTCAGTTAGACGTGAACACACACGATACGTATATTTTCAGATTCAGCACGACCTTCCCTTTCACACTGTTATCATTATCTCTAATCTAATGCTGATAAACGCCACTGAACACACAGAGAAACCAGAGGAAAGTCAACTATTTATAGCAGCAGAACCTGCCTTAGAATTATCACGTTTTTTAAGTTTTATTCAGCATTAAAGTAAATCAAAGGTTGTTAATAGTTATGATGCACAGAGGAGATGCTAACAGCTAATTCTGCTAGGTTTCAATGGTGAAAATGTGTTAGCAAATATAGGCAAAAACAAAGCAGAGTCCACACAGTGGGTGTTTCTCAATGTCGAGGAAGGATGCTCCAGAGCCACTATTTCAAGGATGCTACGTCATCGAGTCCCGCCGAAGGACTGTTCCAATGTCCAGCATACTTGGAGTTCTACCGAGGCCGGCGTCCTTCGTAGCGGGACATTTCGAGGCTGCTCATGTGTATCCTCCGCGGTCTTAAAATCCCCACAATGCTTTGCGCACGGACCAATTTCCAAATCTTTGGCGGAAATCGCGCTCCATTTAAGGCGGGGCCTCGCATATGACGCACACCTGTTAGCCTGTTCCACCATTCTTCGTTCGGGACATGTTCTACCAAGGAAGCGTCCTCGACATTGAGAAACACCCTGTAACTCACTATATCTAGCGTTGTTTGTAGCTGCTAAACCTGCCTGAGAATTATAACGTTTTTAGGTTGTATTCAGTATTAAAGTAAACCAGTGATACCTGTCTTTACATCAATGTGAACGGAGATGCTAACGGCTAATTCTGCTATGTTTTATTGGTGAAAATGTGCTAATATGTTGGCAAATGTATGCTAAAACAAGGCAGAGTTCACATCATAACTCACTGAATCCATCTATGTTTTTAACTGCAGAATCTGCCTGAGATTTAGCACATTTTTATGTTTTATTCCGTTTTAAAGTTAATTAGAGATACCTGTCTGTACATCAATGAACACAATGTGAACAGGAGATGCTAACGGCTAATTCTGCCAGGTTTTAAGGATGAAAATGTGCTAATATGTTAAGAAATATAAGCTAAAACAAAGCAGAGTTCACAGCATAACTCACTGAATCGATATATAACAGCAGAACCTGCCTGACAATTATAACGTTTTTAGGTTTTATTCAGTATTAAAGTAAATCAAAGGTAGATGTCTCTATATTAATAGTAACGATGGACAGATCAGATGCTAACAGCTAATTCTGCTTAGTTTTATTGGTGAAAATGTGCTAATATGTTAGCAATTATAGGCAAAAACAAAGCAGGGTCCAAACTGTAACTCACTATATCTAGCATTGTTTGTAGCTGCAGAATCTGCCTGAGATTTAGCACGATTTTAGGTTTTATTCAGTATTAAAGTAAACCAGTGATACCTGTCTGTACATCAATGAACACAATGTGAAAAGGAGATGCTAACGGCTAATTCTGCTATGTTTAAATGGTGAACATGTACTAATATGTTGGCAAATATAGTCTAAAACAAAGCGCAGTTCACATGGTGACTGACTGAATCAAAGGCAGAAGTGTGTGTTGAATTTGTTTTAATATTACAGTAGTTTTATTAAATTAAAGCATGCTTATCTTCCACAAATTAGGAACGATCAGCTGGGAGAAAAAGGAAGAAATGAAAGCGTGTTGCTCTCTGTACCGAAGTTAATTATCTCTAATCCCAAGATACCAAAGTAATCTGTTGGATCTTGATTACCGTTTAAATACTGCCGTTATCCGACTTACTGTAACATCTGGAGACAATACAGCCGTTACAGAGCTCTACTGTAGAGAGTCAGTCGTCATGTGCAGATGGAGAAAGGTGCCACACGATTTTCTGAACATATTAAGTATTGTTTTATTGGATAATTTGAAAAAAAGTAGTAAGACTTAAGCATTTATCCATGTCTGAGAGCACAGAAATGTCACTTAAAACTATCATTTTTAGCCTAAAAAGCAAAATGTCTCTGCAGAGGTGCATTGAGATTATTAGATACGTAAATCACAATGACTTTCCTTTTTTTATTGTCTTCTTTATGATATATTTCTTTTAATCTGTGTGTAAATTTCAATAGAAAAGACACAAAAAACATGTATTTTTAGTCTAAGAATCATAATTTTGACCTACGTTTTTAACCTGAAAAGATGCATTAAAGGGAACCCCATCATGCCTAATGTCTCTGCGTGGTGCGTTCACTGACCGTGACCCCGGTGTCGCTGGTGGTCTCCCTGAAGGTGAAGTTGCACACGGCCCAGGCCAGGTAGTAGGTGGACATCCTGGGCGTGCGGCTGAACCTCGTGGTGATGGAGCCGTCCTCCTCCAGCACGCTCTGCTCCTCCGGCATGTTGCTCAGCGCCGTGTACTGAGCGTCGTGCCGCAGCGTCACGGAGAACGTGGCTTTGTACACCGGCTCGTCGAAACACGGGAACGCTTTCCGGGCGTGGATCGGACTGAACTGGGTCAGCGCCAGGAATCTGGGGAGGAAGAGGAAGAAGAGGGAGAGGGTTAGTGGGAAGTAAAATACATGGTTTTAGTGTGGATTTAAAATGGCTCAATGAGACACATTACATTACATTGCATTTAGCTGACGCTTTTATCCAAAGCGACTTACATGTGCATTCGACCAAGAAGATACAAACTTGAAGAAAACAGAATCATATAAGTACATCAGGTTTCATAGAGCCAAAACATTTCAAGTGCTACTCAACTAGCTTTAGATAAGCCAGTCCTTTGTTAGTATATAAGTGCTTTGATAGCAATTGTATCGCTCGAAGTGGAGTCTAAAGAGATGAGTCTTCAGTCTGCGCTGGAAGATGTGTGAGCTTTCTGCTGTCCTGATGTCAATGGGGAGCTCATTCCACCATGTTGGAGCCAGGATAGCAAACCCACGTGTTTCTGCTGATGGGAACTTGGGTCCCCCTCGCAGTGCGGGTGCAGCGAGCCGATTGGCTGATGCAGAGCAGAGTGCACGTGCTGGGGTGTATGGTTTAACCATGTCCTGGATGTAGGAAGGGCCAGATCCATTCACTGCATGGTACGCTAGCACCAGTGTCTTGAAGTGGATTCTAGCAGTTACTGGAAGCCAGGGAAGGGAGCGGAGGAGCGGCGTGGTGTGGGAACATTTAGGAAGGTTGAAGACCAGACGAGCCGCTGCATTCTGGATGAGCTGCAGAGGTCGGATGGCACATGCAGGTAGACCAGCCAGGAGGGAGCTGCAGTAGTCTAGGCGTGAGATGACGAGTATAATGTGCTAAAGGACAATTCATTACATGAAGTGTCAAAATGTGCCTGATTTTGTATTATTCCTCTTTGATGTAACACTCCCGTTAACCTTTGCTGTCAGGTCTCTCAGTTTCCTCTCGGCTTTACGTCAGTCTTTAAACATGGCGCTGTCGAACAAAGAGGGATTTGGTTTCAGTCTTTATCAGAGAGGAGGAGGAGATCAGAGTGCAGAGAGTTACGGGATAATCCTCTCAACTTCCACAGTCTCCACTTCCAGAAGTAATCCAAAACAAAGCCCACTTCCTGTTTCCTCCTGATGTCGGTAAGCCGAGTCGACTGTTTCCGTATCATCGTTACCTGACAAACAGGAAATAATCCCTCGGAAAGCGTTCCCGTTATCTCGCTCGAGTCGTTGTGGAGGAAGAGATGAAAGGAATACGAGTTTGGGAGGAAGACGAGGAAGAAAGTGGGAAACAAAAGAGGAAACAAAAGTGACGCAAGAGAGGAAGTATATCAGAAGACGCCATGAAGTTATGAATATTAAAAAGTGGAAAAGTAGTGTCTCATGTTCCGAATAACCCAGCTTCCCCAAATGTCTTTTTGGTGTCTATCTACGCCGGGACCCTGAGTCGTGGCTGATCCTGTTGCTGCGGTCCTGGATGGATATCCTCGTGGATTCATCTTCTTATTATAGACACATGCATTTCCAAACATTTGGTCTACCTATGTTGTAAATGTATTATCTCTTCGATTTACACACGGCATCTACTGCACGTCTGTCCGTCCTGGGAGAGGGATCCCTCCTCTGTTGCTCTCCCTGAGGTTTCTCCCATGTTCCCCTTTAAACTGTGGGGTTTCTCTCTGGAAGTGTTTCCTTGTATGATGTGAGGGTCTAAGGACAGAGGGTCTAAGGACAGAGGGTGTCGTATTGTCATACTGATATTCTGAACAAACTGTGAAGTCCACTGAGACAAAGGTAACATCTGGGATATTGGGCTATATATATAAACATTGATTGATTGATTGATTGATTGATTGATTGATTGATTGATTGCTTGATTGATTGATAGTGGAGTGAGAGGAAAGAAAGAAAGGGGAAATGAAGAAGTTTGGGGAAGAGTAGAAGGAAACACAGAAAAGGTGGAGGCAAGGGGAAGGAAATGAGGAGGAAGAAGAGAAGAAGCTCAAGAAGTGTGAGGAGATAGCGAAGCACCTTAGAGGCGAGAGGAGATGATGAAGAGGAGGAAAATGGAGGGAGGAGAATAATAAACAGGGCGAGAGAGGCAGACAAAAAGAGGGAGAGAGAGAAATAATGGAGAGCGCCTGAGAGAGACGAGATAAAGACACACACACACACACACACACACACACACACACACACACACACACACACACACACACACACACACACACAACACACACACACACACACACACACACACACACACACACACACACACACACACACACACACACACACACACACACACACACACACCACCACACACAAGAGAGCTCAATTAAATTAACACACACACATTTATGTGACGTGACATCCTGCAGATTGCCAACAGTCGACACCGCCGCCAAAGTAACGCTTGTTGTCACGGTAATCCTGATAGACAACAAGGCCGACGGTGTTGCCCGGGACAACCGCACACACACACACACACAGTAGCTCACACACACACACAGTTGCTCACACACACACACAGTAGCTCACACACACACACAAATTAATTCACACGGCGGCGCTTTCCCCGAACGGCAGAAAGTGAAAAATGAAAATGACATCACCTCCTGCTGTAATGTTTGCCATTAAGTTTGTGTGAGACACCACAGAAGAAGAGTGACGGCGTGTTGAATGAGACACACACACACAGAAAGACACACACAGAGAAACACACACACTCACACAGAAAGACACACACACACACACACAGAAAGACACACACAGAGAAAGACACTTCAGCTCATTCTGATTCAGAGATGGAGCTGAAGAGAAAGCTGTTGAGTAAGGCGCTTTTCAGTGCACGCGCGCGTGCGTGTGTGTGTGTGTGCGTGCGTGTGTGTGTGTGTGTGTGTGCGTGTGTCAGTTCCAGCTCTCTCTCACTGCACACACAGGAGATGCACTGATCTCTTTAAACGAGCAACGTCTCCAATTGCAATTCACCGCTTTCACATTGGAGTTAGAGAGTGTGGTGAGCGTGCGTGCGCGCGCGCGCGTGTGTGTGTGTGTGTGTGTGTGTGTGTGTGTGTGTGTGTGTGTGTGTGTGTGTGTGTGTGTGTGTGTGTGTGTGTCTATAGTATTACACAGGAAGCCGCTGAAAAGGCTGATTCATCAAGTTTGGTGTAAAATATATAATAATATCAGCGACTGGTGGAGGGGGTTTATTGATAGCAAGGGAGGAGGAGATGAGGAAGTAGGGAGGAAGGAGATAAGGATTAAACACATTGAATATAAAGTGGAAACGTCCAGGCCTGAAGAGGATCCTAAACCTTCATTATTTCTACAAGATTTTGTTAAATATTGAGAGTAAAAACGTTGATGAAGCAGGGTATGGTACAGGGCTAGCTAGTGTTAGCCGGTGACTTAGCATCTGTTGACGAAAAAGTATGTTTTCCTCATACAAGTACTGTACTTAAGTACAATTTTGAAGTAATTTTTAACCATGTTACAGAATGCTACTGTGTACTTTACTCCACTACATGTATTTAATCCCTTTAGTTACTTCACAGATGTGGATGAATGATGTGAAATCTAACCAAGTGTTAAATCAGACTTTAGTTCCACCTGGAGTAAATCCACAAGCTACCCTGCAGTATACAAAGTCATTCAAACTAGCTGCACCTTTACCAGCTTTGAGAACACTTTCATGATCAATCATTATAAAATATATCATATATATTATTCTGAAATGGACCAATCTGCACAATGACTACTTTTACTGTCGCTACTTTCACTATATTTTGATGAGAATACTTTTCTACTTTCACTTGAGGAACATTTTGAATGCAGGACTTTTACTGTAACAGAGTATTCCTACACTCTGGTACTTCTACTTTTACTCAAGTACAAGACCTGAGTACTTCTACTTTTACTCAAGTACAAGATCTGAGTACTTCTACTTTTACTCAAGTACAAGACCTGAGTACTTCTACTTTTACTCAAGTACAAGATCTGAGTACTTCTACTTTTACACAAGTACATGATCTGAGTACTTCTACTTTTACTCAAGTACAAGATCTGAGTACTTCTACTTTTACTCAAGTACAAGATCTGAGTACTTCTACTTTTACTCAAGTACAAGACCTGAGTACTTCTACTTTTACTCAAGTACAAGATCTGAGTACTTCTACTTTTACTCAAGCATTATGATGTAGATTCTCGTTAAGTACTGAACTTTATTCCTCGTCACACGCTACCTCGTTAGCTCTAATTCTGCTCCTCGTTAAAGGAGCACAGTCTCAGGATCTTTTATTAGATGTCCGGGTGTCTCTTTTAAATCTCACAGCCGGGACCCTCTATCAACAGGGGGTTGGGTTTAATGAACAAGAGCAACGTTAAAAAAAAGGTGTGTGTGGGCGTCGCTACACGCTAACACAGATCATGGATGTGTGAAATGATGTTTCTTATGAAAGTTGCTTCATTTAAAGTCAAATATATACATATATCTGTGTGTGTATGTGTGTGTGTGTGTGTGTGTGTGTGTGTGTGTGTGTGTGTGTGTGTGTGTGTGTGTGTGTGTGTGTGTGAGAATTAATTCCCTTCCCCAGCATTCAAGCAGTTGAGCTCAGCCTGGGGTTTAAAGTAACTCTAAATATTATTCAAATCTCACAGTGTGTGTGTGTGTGTGTGTGTGTGTGTGTGTGTGTGTGTGTGTGTGTGTGTGTGTGTGTATATCCTGTTGTGATGGCAGGTGTCCTGTGATCGGCTGCCGCAGAGACACACACTGGTTTCACTGGGGGACAAACCACTGCAGCAACACCTATAGTGTGTGTGTGTGTGTGTGTGTGTGTGTGTGTGTGTGTGTGTGTGTGTGTGTGTGTGTGTGTGTGTGTGTGTGTGTGTGTGTGTGTGTGTGTGTGTGTTAGCTTTAGCCCCCCACATGCATCAAGTTAATCCTTAAGCTAATACTGAGCTTTGTAAACACACACACACAGTTTGCAGCAGTGCATCATTTTGTCTGTAAAGTCTCTGCAGACCAACGAGTGAATTGGACATGTTTTAATTGAATATTAGATTGAATATCTCTTTGCTTTGCTGTTTATTTGTCAGATGAATATAAGTTTGAACTTCGACCAGCAATAAAGGGCTAGAATCGTATTTATAGTTAAACAAAAAAAAGAAATGGTACAATATGTCTGGAGACGTTCTCATATCAGCAGTTATATAGTAGCTGATTATATCAACAAGTATAATTATAATAACGAAAAAATAATGACAAAAAAAACGTTGAATATATGTAATAATATAATTAGTAATAGATGTAAAAAAAATAAGAATAATAACTATTATGAATAACAAAAATATATATAATAATAATAATTTTAAAGGTCACCTATCATGCTATTTTTAGGCAATAGCATAGGTCTCAGATATATACAAATATATAAAAAACATGTCTATGAAGTGTGTTGCTCAAAACACCAAACAGATCACCCATTCTAGCCATGCCTCATATCCCTCTATTTCACTTCCTGTTTCAAAAGTGCTGATTTGGGGTATAAAGCTTTAAAGAGGAGGGGTCTGAGCTCATGCGGGACCCGGCAGCTACTGTCTAAACTAAATGCTGCCGTGATGAAACGCCATATCATGGATTATCAAGGATTGTTTCTGAAACAGTATGGAGCTCAAAGGCTTTCTCTCTTGCCGGTTATACCACAAGGTGAGTTCCTTTTTATTTCCTGCTTCTTCACACACATGCTCTCCACTACAGGTTAGCTCTGAGTGTTAGCCATGCTAATGTAAACACCGACCATATTACGTCCAAAACAGTCGGGCATTGTTTCTGATAGCAACGTTTCTGATAGGGCCGTGGGTCCACATTTCAGATATTACGTCATATCAGACGCAAATCTGGATCAGCTCCGTTGTTCCCCGTTTTTAGAGATTTGGGTATGGAGGAAAAGAGAGAGGGTTTTATTTTCTGACACTTGGTGAGTTCCCTGGAACACCGGGGACACATGTTTATGTATAGACATCAAAAAGTGCATTTTGCATGAATGCACTTTTGTACGTCTTGTCTACATGAATATGTGTCCCCGGTGTTCCAGGGAACTCACCAAGTGTCAGAAAACACAACCCTCTCTATTTTCCTCCATACCCAAATCTCTAAAAAAGGGGCTGCAACGGATCTGATCAAAACTGATCCAGATTTGAACACTGTCCTGACGTCAGGACAGTGGCGCTACGGCTATTGGGCCAACTCCACCAATCAGGAGGAGACAGCCACGGCCATTGCCGTTCGAAAGCGCTGGAGACGCTGTAGTACATATGCCAGGCCAGTAGATGGTGCTGTTCTCACTGAATCTGCCCTTGCAAAAACAGAGCTAAAAAATGTCAAACTGAGCGAAATGAGGCATGGCTAAAATGCATGATCTGTTTGGTATTTTGATAAGGCATATTATATAGGTATGGCCCTACAATATATTATTCAAATATAGCATGATAGGTCCACTTTAAATTATAATACAAAAATATTGACGAAAAAAACCTTGAAATAGAAATGTAATAAGAATAATGACAAAATAATGAAGAAAAAAACGTGAAATAAAATGTTTGTAATATAAATAATGAGTAAAAACTAAACAACAATACAAATCTGTGATTATGGCTCATATTCAAATGCGAGTTCATATTTAGTTCTCATTGCTGCACCCTCAGCCTGATGTCTAAGATCTCCTCAGTGAGAGCGTGGCTGTGTTTCTGCTCTCATTAAACTCTCTCTAACGGCTGCTGTTGTGACGGAGCGGCTCATCGATCTGAAGTGCAGCGAGTCGACCACCAGCCGAGAAAACACGAAGAGAATCAGCTGATCCAGAGAGGAACAGAGATTAGAGGCTGCTGTTTGAACCCATAGGCAGGAAAACATATTATATCAAGATGTATGGAGAGTTATATTTCACCTATTCTGCTTTGAATAGATTATTTTACCATTTTTATAATAACTTGGATATAATAACTTGGATATAATAACTTGGATATAATAACGCGTGTAGAGGTACTCCCTTGCAGCCCACCACTAAAATATAAATTAGGGCTGTCAAGTTAACGTTAATAACGCGTTAACGCAAAAAAAAATTAACGCCACTAATTATTTTAACGCGATTAACGCATGTGTATTTTTTGTCCTCGGCCGCCGTAGTTTCAGAGCGCATCGAGTGTAAAATACCATCTACAAGCTGATGCTGACAGCCCCGCTCCTGCTGCCCGCTTGTGGCAGACCACACTTCCACGCTCACCGGCAGGCCCAGACTGGCCATCGGGAGGACCGGGAGGGAGTGTGTATGTGTGGCGCGAGCGAAGCACACCTTACGTGTTGTTGTTAGCATCTGGTGCTAGCTAGCTGAGCTAACGGATATAAGGAGCTGTTTCAATGAAAACAGAGGAGCGACATTTCGCCGACAACTGCGCCGAGCACTTGACTTTATGCAGGTAGCCAGACAGCACACTCAGCACGGATAGTGCCGCAACACAGCTCATACACACAGGCATATATGCCTTGAGCTGCACATAGCTCCAACGATCCTCCACATTCACACACACACACACACACACACACACACACACACACACACACACACACACACACACACACACACACACACACACACACACACACACAGTATTGTATGAGAGAGGTTCTAGTTTGAATTGAGGTGAATATTTGTAATGTTCAGGTTGTTGTGTTTAATATTCATGAGAATATTTGTCATTGTTCAAATGATAATAAACAAACATATAAAGCATATTTGTCCACTCATATGTTGATAAGAGTATTAAAAACTTGAAAAATATCCCTCTAAGGTACATTTAGAACAGATAAAAAATGTGCGATTAATTTGCGATTAATCGCGATTAAATATTTTAATCGACTGACAGCCCTAATATAAATATATATAAACATTTCAAACAAAAATGTTACTGTGTGTTCAAGAAATGGACAAAGCATCTTTTTCTTCATCCAATCACAGGAGAGCTCTTCAGATTTAATCAATTAGCTCCGAGCCTGTGTGTCTGCTATGAGTGACACACACACACACACACACACACACACACACACACACACACACACACACACACACACACACACACACACACACACACACACACACACACACACACACACACACACACACACACACACACACACACACACACACACACACACACACACACACACACACACACACACACACACACACACACACACACACACACACACACACACACACACACACACGGTAATACATGTATCAGCAGTCTGTTTCCCATCAGCACCATGGGGAGGAAATCTGATGTGGAAACAACTCTGCAGCAGAGGCTTATGGGAAATTCATAGGGAGGGAGTGAGCGGTGTGTGTGTGTGTGTCGGCGTGTGTGTGTGGTTTGATAAGTGGAACACACACACACTTCCGCAGCAGCAGCAGTGTGTTTGAGTTAATCAATGTCATGAATGTGAAGCTCTGACCTTTTTCTACTCCAACCACCTGCTGCTGTGGGAAGACGTGTGTGTTTCAGTGTGTGTGTGTTTCAGATTGTGTGTGCAGAGATGGCAAAAGCACACACATCCTTTACTCAAGTAGAAGTACAGATACTCGTGTTTAAAAATACTCTGGTGAAAGTAGAAGTACTGACTAAACTTCTTTACTCAAGTCAAAGTAAAGAGGGCTTTGAAATGTACTTCAGTAAAAAGTACCCATAACTAGCAGCTGTTTTAAAGAGTACCTGACCTCCCTTTATATTAATAGAACAATAATGTCATTGTTAGCTAATGAATGTTTCCATGCTGAACAACGGCAACATGACAACGTTTTCATTGGTCCCTCTTCTTTAGAGAAGACCAGGAAATGATGGATACACGGATCGTGTTCAAATCAATAGGCACGCAATGACTCTAAATAATAATGATCACGCCACCAAACACACATTCAAACTAAAGGAACCAGCCTGTTTGGAAAATGTGAGAAGTAGAAAGTACAGGTATTTGTGTTCAACATGTAAGAAGTAGAAAGTACAGGTATTTGGGTTCAACATGTAAGAAGTAGAAAGTACAGGTATTTGGGTTCAACATGTAAGAAGTAGAAAGTACAGGTATTTGTGTTCAACATGTAAGAAGTAGAAAGTACAGGTATTTGGGTTCAAAATGTAAGAAGTCAAAGTAAAAAGTCGTCAGAAAAATAAGTAGTGGAGTAAAGTGCGTGCGTGCGTGCGTACCGTTTCTCTCGGTGCAGTGTGTAGGAGCTCCTGAAGAAGCCCAGCAGCTCGTCCTCGATGGCGGCCTCGAAGCTGATGTTCAGCCGGTAAACTCGGAGCGGTTTGAGTTCTCGGTGCAGAACGACCACGTGCATCTGAGTGGTCGGATGGGGGAAGTGGCGGTGGATTCTCATGGCTCCGCCCCCTGGTCTGTTGGCAGGGCGACCGTTGGCTCCGCCCTCTGCCGTGACGGACACACGGTCCACCTGAAGAGACAGAAGCAACAACCGTTAACACAGAGAGACGTTTCTGTGTTGGTCCCTGAAGGCAGCATCTCCCACGTCCAATGGGATTTCTCCATTTCTTGATTTTGGATTATTGCAGATAATAATCTCAACGTTTATGACACTTACACGTTTTGTTGGCTGTTTAAGTACTTTACCTGCAGTGAAATCTGAATATTGCAGGGGTTTTTCTAGAAGAATATAGTACAACATCACGCCCCGCCCACTTTCCGGCTAAAATCCAGCAGATTTTGGTGACTTTGTGATGTCACAATGTTTTTTTGGGTTGTGCAACCATTAGCCAATAACCAACCAAGGTAACCCCCCCCCCGACCTTATCACCTGAATCTCTTCCATTGTGTTTTTTTAAACCAATCATCTCTCAAAGGGGCGTGGCCAGCAGCAGCTCATTAGCATTTAAAGCTACAGACAGAGAATCAGCACTTTTGAAACTGGGCGGAAACAGAGGGGATTATGGGATGCTGCAATGATCTGTTTGGTGTTTGGAGCCAAACACTTCAGAGACATGTTCTGTATATATCTGAGACCTATAATATATTTATGAAAAACAGTATAATAGGGGACCTTTAAAACAATTCAACCATAACTGAATGCATGAAAATGTGCGTTCGTAATGTCAATTAACATCCAAACGTGCCATAAAGTGTCTCTCTTCCTTATGAACAAATGTAAGTACTATTTGAATTCTACCAAACGTATCCTCAAATCTTCGGTGTATCAAAATATGAAATGCTGTAAAAGAGATAAATTAATCAACGCTATTGGATAAAAATGGAAATTGAAGTGGGGGAAACTTCTGTCATCATTAAAACAGAGTGCAGCAGTGCATGATGGGAACATGCCCGACAGAAAGAACCATTTGAAACCTCGGGGCCACACACCAATCAAACAGTGTGTGTGTGTGTGTGTGTGTGTGTGTGTGTGTGTGTGCGTGCGTGCGTGCGTGCGTGCGTGCGTGCGTGAGCGTGCTTCTTTGATGAATGAAGTGATCGATACGAGCAGAGCGCCTGCTGACACGGAGAGGAAAAGTCGGGGATTAAAAGAATGTTTTTCAAGGGTTTTTTCTGGCGAGTCAGCGAACGCAGCGTGATGCCTTCAAATGCTCCACTCGAACAGAAATGGTTTTTAATTGGGTTTGTTCGATAATTGGTTTGATTTCTCGGCTCACAACTCGTCACTGTCTGGTCTTTTTAAACCGCCAAACTTGCTCATGTTTGAAAGTTGAATCTTGTGTTTGTTGATCAATAAAACGTACATTTTCCTCAAAATAAACAAACTTGTTGTGCCTCGGAGGGAAGTCTAAAAGCTTTTTGTGGTTTTCCCTTCCTGTAGTGTGTTCTATAGGTTTGTGTGCATGTAAATGGTCTGGAAAGGCTAAAATCCCAAAGTTCCAAAACACAGTGACATCACTATGGAACCACTAACGCTTCTATTGGCTCCAACACATTGTACGTGATAGGCTAAGGGGCAGGACATCTCTAAGCTGGTTGACCAATCACAACAGAGCCGGCCAGCTAACCAATCAGACCAGAGAGGACTCTTTAAAGTAGAGACACTACATACTGATATACACCTGAACATCAGCAGGAGAGGACTCTTTAAAGTAGAGACACTACATACTGATATACACCTGAACATCAGCAGGAGAGGACTCTTTAAAGTAGAGACACTACATACTGATATACACCTGAACATCAGCAGGAGAGGACTCTTTAAAGTAGAGACACTACACACTGATATACACCTGAACATCAGCAGGAGAGGACTCTTTAAAGTAGAGACACTACATACTGATATACACCTGAACATCAGCAGGAGAGGACTCTTTAAAGTAGAGACACTACATACTGATATACACCTGGACATCAGTAGGAGAGGACTCTTTAAAGTAGAGACACTACATGCTGATATACACCTGAACATCAGCAGGAGAGGACTCTTTAAAGTAGAGACACTACATACTGATATACAGCTGAATATCAGCAGGAGAGGACTCTTTAAAGTAGAGACACTACACACTGATATACACCTGAACATCAGCAGGAGAGGACTCTTTAAAGTAGAGACACTACATACTGATATACACCTGAACATCAGCAGGAGAGGACTCTTTAAAGTAGAGACACTACATACTGATATACACCTGAACATCAGCAGTAGAGGACTCTTTAAAGTAGAGACACTACATACTGATATACACCTGAACATCAGCAGGAGAGGACTCTTTAAAGTAGAGACACTACATACTGATATACACCTGAACATCAGCAGGAGAGGACTCTTTAAAGTAGAGACACTACATACTGATATACACCTGAACATCAGCAGGAGAGGACTCTTTAAAGTAGAGACACTACATACTGATATACACCTGAACATCAGCAGGAGGACTCTTTAAAGTAGAGACACTACATACTGATATACACCTGAACATCAGCAGGAGAGGACTCTTTAAAGTAGAGACACTACATACTGATATACACCTGAACATCAGCAGTAGAGGACTCTTTAAAGTAGAGACACTACATACTGATATACACCTGAACATCAGCAGGAGAGGACTCTTTAAAGTAGAGACACTACATACTGATATACACCTGAACATCAGCAGGAGAGGACTCTTTAAAGTAGAGACACTACATACTGATATACACCTGAACATCAGCAGGAGAGGACTCTTTAAAGTAGAGACACTACATACTGATATACACCTGAACATCAGCAGGAGAGGACTCTTTAAAGTAGAGACACTACATACTGATATACACCTGAACATCAGCAGGAGAGGACTCTTTAAAGTAGAGACACTACATACTGATATACACCTGAACATCAGCAGGAGAGGACTCTTTAAAGTAGAGACACTACATACTGATATACACCTGAACATCAGCAGGAGAGGACTCTTTAAAGTAGAGACTCTACATACTGATATACACCTGAACATCAGCAGGAGAGGACTCTTTAAAGTAGAGACACTACATACTGATATACACCTGAACATCAGCAGGAGAGGACTCTTTAAAGTAGAGACACTACATACTGATATACACCTGAACATCAGCAGGAGAGGACTCTTTAAAGTAGAGACACTACATACTGATATACACCTGAACATCAGCAGGAGAGGACTCTTTAAAGTAGAGACACTACATACTGATATACACCTGAACATCAGCAGGAGAGGACTCTTTAAAGTAGAGACACTACATACTGATATACACCTGAACATCAGCAGGAGAGGACTCTTTAAAGTAGAGACACTACATACTGATATACACCTGAACATCAGCAGGAGAGGACTCTTTAAAGTAGAGACACTACATACTGATATACACCTGAACATCAGCAGGAGAGGACTCTTTAAAGTAGAGACACTACATACTGATATACACCTGAACATCAGCAGGAGAGGACTCTTTAAAGTAGAGACACTACATACTGATATACACCTGAACATCAGCAGGAGAGGACTCTTTAAAGTAGAGACACTACATACTGATATACACCTGAACATCAGCAGTAGAGGACTCTTTAAAGTAGAGACACTACATACTGATATACACCTGAACATCAGCAGGAGAGGACTCTTTAAAGTAGAGACACTACATACTGATATACACCTGAACATCAGCAGGAGAGGACTCTTTAAAGTAGAGACACTACATACTGATATACACCTGAACATCAGCAGGAGAGGACTCTTTAAAGTAGAGACACTACATACTGATATACACCTGAACATCAGCAGGAGGACTCTTTAAAGTAGAGACACTACATACTGATATACACCTGAACATCAGCAGGAGAGGACTCTTTAAAGTAGAGACACTACATACTGATATACACCTGAACATCAGCAGTAGAGGACTCTTTAAAGTAGAGACACTACATACTGATATACACCTGAACATCAGCAGGAGAGGACTCTTTAAAGTAGAGACACTACATACTGATATACACCTGAACATCAGCAGGAGAGGACTCTTTAAAGTAGAGACACTACATACTGATATACACCTGAACATCAGCAGGAGAGGACTCTTTAAAGTAGAGACACTACATACTGATATACACCTGAAGATCAGCAGGAGAGGACTCTTTAAAGTAGAGACACTACATACTGATATACACCTGAACATCAGCAGGAGAGGACTCTTTAAAGTAGAGACACTACATACTGATATACACCTGAACATCAGCAGGAGAGGACTCTTTAAAGTAGAGACTCTACATACTGATATACACCTGAACATCAGCAGGAGAGGACTCTTTAAAGTAGAGACACTACATACTGATATACACCTGAACATCAGCAGGAGAGGACTCTTTAAAGTAGAGACACTACATACTGATATACACCTGAACATCAGCAGGAGAGGACTCTTTAAAGTAGAGACACTACATACTGATATACACCTGAACATCAGCAGGAGAGGACTCTTTAAATTAGAGACACTACATACTGATATACACCTGAACATCAGCAGGAGAGGACTCTTTAAAGTAGATACACTACATACTGATATACACCTGAACATCAGCAGGAGAGGACTCTTTAAAGTAGAGACACTACATACTGATATACACCTGAACATCAGCAGGAGAGGACTCTTTAAAGTAGAGACACTACATACTGATATTCACCTGAAAATGAGCTTAATATCTCTTCTTACATTTTCCTGTCAAGTTGTAAGACCTCAGTTTAGTCCTCTCTGTCTACAAATCAGCAATACGGCCAGATTTCAATGGACTTCACTGCCGATATTCCTTGTTTCCAGTTTGAAACTTCTTTACTTAACATCAAGCGTCATCTATAACCTAAATTTCCCAAGTGTACACAACCCATTAACATCTATCCAGTGAGCACATTCTTGCTCCCAGCCAATATTTTACATTGCATTTCTTAATTTATAATAAACAATAGTACCTGTATTTAAGTGTTGATATGTTTGCCTCAGCAGGAATTGGAAAGTTTGTGAAAGAAAAACCAAATGAAAGAAGCTTTGGGCCCTTTTTTACTTTGCTGATCGTCACATTAATTTTGCACCCGTGACATTTATTCCGTGAGAATTAAAGAGCACTTTGCAGGAGTGTTTTCCTCTCCAGTCGGTTGTATTTTTATCCACCTTGTGTTTTCCCCTTTATAAAAAGATAATTGTCATGCACGGTACCTTAGGAGACCTGCCTGGCGCCCAACAACACCTCTTAATTCACAGCGTGCTCACAAACAAACACAAAAGGAGTCTGCGGGGCTTTTTAATTGGCCTGTGCCCAAATTAGACGGATTTATCCTCCTCTCACATTAGCCCAGATGACCGCCCTGAAAAGTCATGTTGCTCGGCGTTTCTCTGAGGCTTTCTCCCAACGAAATCTAATTAAATAAATAAAGAAATCGGCTGAAACAGCAACTTTGATGGTTAATTAGCCTCGTTGAGAAAATCTCTGAGGCCAAATCTGGAAATAAACATGCTTTGTTAGAGAGCGGCTTGTTTTCCTACGGAGAGACGAGGCTTTGTCTGCACGTCATCAAACTGTGTGCATCCACAGCGCCTCTAAAAGGGGTCAGGGGTCAGGAAACCCAAGTATCTCCGCAATTATCATGTCTGGTGAAGACCTTATTGAGCATTTCGTGTATTTTGCATTGAATGTCTTTTAAAGACCCTTTAGATATGTATTTTTATCAAGAAAAACGTTTTAATGATCTACAATTCAATATATTATACCTTTATTTTGAAAATCCCATTGGAAGTTTTTGCCTCCAATAAACTCAGATTGACTGAAAAAAAATGTGTTAGTAAGTAATCATAGATAAACTAATTATCAGGCAATTTCTTTGCACTGCACTTCTATTAATAACCTTTTTAATTTGTATTTTGACAACATTTTGGGTTGTGATTTAGTCACTTAAATGTCAACAAGTCTCCATATGCTAATATTTTTGATGTTTTAAAAGCTTTTTTGCTAATACCCTTTCATTCTTTATCTTCTCGATACTTAATTTTCCAACTAAATGTAAGAACATTGGTTTAAAAGGTGGTTTAGCAGCTATGATATTGCATTGGAACACACCGTAGTACTGCTTCTATGAGTTGACGACCAGATCGAACGTGTGAGTACACTATTTCTACGTTAAGACGTTTTCTGGTCATTAAAGACTGCCCATGCAGGCCATCATACCTCAAGGCGGTCGATGTGTTAGCTGAGAAACATCTCACTTTTTCAAAGCATTATTGTCTTCTGAATCAAGCTATTATCGTTTGCCATGATCTGCATGTCACAGATGTTACAATGTTCCTCAAGACATGTTTACCAAACACTTCCACAGATTTCTCTCCATTAAGCCACCGTACCTCCAGGTGGTCTTGAAAGAATGATTGTCTTCTATCTGACTTCAAGCTATTATTGATCGGCATGTCACAGATATCACTATGTTCCTGAAGACATGTTTACCAAAGACGTCCACAGATTTCTATCCATTAAGCCACCGTACCTCAAGGCGGTCGATGTGTTAGCTGAGAAACATCTCACTTTTTCAAAGCATTATTGTCTTTCATCTGAATTTAAGCATGTCACAGATATCACTATGTTCCTAAAGACATGTCTACCAAACACTTCTAGAGATTTCTCTCCACTCAGACGTACCTCGAGGCGGTCGGTGTGCAGCACGATGAACCTCGTGGCGTTGATGCACTCCAGCTCGATGCTGACCTCCCCGGAGAAGGTGAAGTTGTCCATGTAGACGGCGATCCTCAGGTCATAATGCCGCGGCCTCAGCGTTCCCGGCAGCCTCAGGTTTCTCCACGGCTGAACCCCTTCCTCGTCGCCTCTTTCTCCTTTACTTCCGTTCAGTTTGGTGGACCCTCGAGATCCCGATTCGCCCGTCGCGACATCTCGACTCCCGCAGTCCTCGAATCGGACGCTGAGCACCACAGCCACCGCCGTGACGATGATGAGGGTGAGGATGCTCAGAGCGAAGCCCAACACGAGGCGCTTGTGCACCGTGATGTGCCGCTCCGTGGTGCGAGGGCGGACCACCACCGTCTCGGCCCATTGGTCCGAGAGGCCGCGGCCGTTCCTCATGGCGCCCGGGCTGCTGTCGTTTAGCCCCATAGCGCTAAAACAAAGAGTCCAACAGCAAAGAGATGCCTCCAATAAATGGGGTTTGGAGCAGAAAGAGATTCATTTATGCTTAAGTCTTTATCCAGATGGTTTGCGGATGACTTAACGTCCTTCAAAAACAACAAAGGAATGCCCTCAACGTAGAAGGTTAGAAACAGGTTTTGGCTCAGAAAGAAATATAATAACGCCAAGATCTTTATCTCATTTTATGGAGGCCTTTATCCAGATTGTAGAAGATGTTGACTGACAAAGAGACGTGTTGGTGTTTGATAGCACCAAATGTTCAGGGTCCAAGGTCAGAAAACTGATTTTGGATCAGAAAAAGATTCATTAATACCAAGGTCTTTATCCAGATTGTTTGCAGCAAATCAAGGGAAAAAAGAGGGATGTGTTTGTGTTTGAAGGTCCCAATTCTTCCCACTCTCAGTTCGTCAAAAACAGTAAAGAAATGTCCTCGAGGTGCAAATCAGAAACAGGTTTATGCTAATGTCTTCATCCAGCTTTTCACAGAGGATTCAAAGCGAAAAAGAGACCTTTTTCGTGCATCTGATGGTCCTAAATCTTCCCACTCTCAGTCTGTCAATCCTCCAGTCTGTGCGGCAGGTGCGTTTCTGAGCATCTTCACCTCTGAACCTAAAAAAAAAAAAACGTCCTTCAGCTTCTCTATCTCGAGGTAGAAAACCGTCTCTGCTGCACGTCTTACATTTCAGGCAACAGAACTGACAAACCAGAAAAGATGAGATGGTCGTGTGCGTTTTGGTTTTGCGGTGAGGAGAGGAAGAATAAAAAATCAATGCTGCATGGCTCGATTTCAAGATCTACAGGAGGCAGAGGAAGAGGAAGGACAGGAGGAGGAGGAGGAGGAGGGGGAGGTGTGTTGTTCAGGATGTGGCTATACAGTGAGCGTATCATCCATAGGCCTTCTCTGGGAATCAGCTAAACCTAGAAGACAGAAGAAAGCCTCGTTAGACCTGATTTGTCAGGAAACAATCTGAGGCAGCTGAATTTGCACACAGATTTTGCATTAAAAAGCACTTTTAGATGGACATTATTCATTTTGAGCTTTAAAAATTGTAATTTCATCAACATGCATAGTCTTTTTCTGGGAATCAGCTACAAATGTTGAGCTTTAAAAATTGTCATTTCATCACCATGCATCAGTGAGCGTCTCATATATAGGCTTTCTCTGGGAATCAGCTAAACCTAGAAGACAGAAGAACGCTTTGTTATAACCCGATGTGCTGGGAAACAATCTGAAATTACACTTCAGCTGAATTTGCACACAGATTTTGCACTATAAAGCACTTTTAGATGATGGAAATTACTGATTTTGAGCTTTAAATATGGTAATTTCATCAACATGCATCAGTGAGCGTATCATCCATAGGCTTTCTCTGGGAATCAGCTAAACCTTGAAGAGTGAGAACTGGAATAAAGCCTGGACACAACCCTATGTGCTGCCAACCAACTGAAGTCACACTTTAGCTGAATTTGCACACAGATTTTGCATTAAAAAGCACCTTGAGATGACGGAAATTACTGATTTTGAGCTTTAAAAATTGTCATTTCATCAACAGGCATAGGCTTTCTGTGGGAATGAGCTACACTTTGAAGAGGTTATAAAGCCTTCGACACCAGCCTATGTGCTTCAAACCAAGTGAAGTCACACTTTAGCTGAATTAGCACACATTAAAAAGCACTTTCAGAAGATTAAAATGTCTCATTTTGAGCTTTAGAATTGGTTATTTCATCAACACGCATCCCAAACACTGATCCTAGCTCACACTCACAGCAGGGGGTATTTTCTCCAGGTCGTCATAAAGTTAATTTGTTCTGAGTTAGAACTGCAGTGAGGCATAAACGAACCCCTATAGGACTATTATGGGATTATTATCATGATACAGTGGGACATTAGGGTCAGTATTAGGAGCCACTGATGCACTCGAGTATCTCCAAGATTATTATGATTACACTTCAGGTTTGGAGTCCGGTAAAGATCATAGTCGACAAATTATCAGCCAATATTTTGCATTTTGACTAAATTATTAACCATTTAAACCTTAATTTGTTTAGAATATGACAACATGTGTTACCCAGGACTTGCTTTTTAACATGAAAAACCCAAGATAACATTTTATAAGACCATTTTTTACATCATATTTCTCTTAATAGCCCTTTAAATGTGCATTTTTGTCAAGAAATGTACTATATTCATGTCACAACTGTTGATTTAAATGTTGTTGAGACGTGTTTTAGAGTCACCACATGTTATTCAAATAAAATAAAAATACATTTATTGTTATATAACGAAGAATTGTACGACTTACCCTTTAAGAATATTGAATTAAAAGGTTATTTTCCAGGTATATTTGCATTGAAACCAACCACTTGAATGGTTTAAACTCCAGCTCCAGGTTATAATGTTCTTTCTCCGTTAATATTCTGCAGATAACGGTGCTTCCTCTCGGTAATAACTCTCCCTCTCGGTCCTCAGGAGGGTAAATTGATGATTTACGGTCAGCACGGGGGTTATTTCACCGTGCAGGAGGTGGTTCACTCCACCGGGGCTAAACGGTGCCCCACAGACCGTGATGGATGAGAGATAGATTCAGAATGATTGATACCGGGGATATATCGATCCGGTGGAGGGGGCACAAACCGGGGGAAAGAGGCTGTTTTTATCCGGTAGAAATCCAAGAATCAATGCAGCCTTTACCGAAATCAATCCGGTTTTAAACGTGAACGTTATCCAGTCCCTGGGCGAACGGAAACCCGGTGATTATTAGGTCTTATTATAAAGGGAGACCTCAGTCCTGAGAAGAACCGGGGCCTTTTCCCGTTAAAATAAAAAACACCTGCTTTTGTATGCTCTTATTTACCGAGGGTGAATTGTCAAGTGCCACCGGGACTGTCCGTTAAACTGATCCGTTAGTTTGAACACAAGGAGTTGGCTGTTAAACGTCAGAAATCCGGTACTGATCCGTTAAATCAACCGGGAATCCGTTACAAGAGCAAACATCAGGGGAACATTTAGAAACAGATCAAACACAAAGTGATCTGTTCAAACACCGGGAATCCGTTAAAAAAACAACTAATGGCCTCTTTTGTAACAGTCACCGTTAAACCAGCTCAAATGTCAGTTTGAACACGAAGAGTTGGCTGTCAGAAATCCGGTATTGATCCGTTAAATCAACCGGGAATCCATTACAAGAGACAACATCATTTTTGTAAATGTCACAGATTAAACACCGGGAATCTATTGTAACAGTCACCAGGACTTTCCGTTAAACTGACGTTAAAAACCGTTATGGACACAACTAAATCCGTTATTGGTCCGTTAAACGAACCGGGAATCCGTTATTTAAAACAAACTAAGGGTCTCTTTAGTAATTGGTCACCGGGACTGTCCGTTAAAACACCTCAGATGTCAGTTTGAACACGAAGAAATCCGGTATGGAGTTGGCTGTCAGAAATCCGGTAGCCTATTGATCCGTTAAACCAACCGGGAATCCGTAACAAGAGGGAACATTTTTGAAACGTCACAGATCAAACACCGTGAATCCGTTAAAAAAACAAAAAACTGGGTCTATTTCTTTTTGTAATGCTCGTTAAATCTCTACCGGGATCAGGTAAAGATCCCTGATCCGTTAAAGAGCTCCATCATTAAACCCGGGTCCCTTTCCATTAAATCCAAAGTAATGAACCGGGTCCGGTGGATTATATCCCGGGTATAAAACCGGCTCAGACCCCTCCGGTGCTCCGGGGTTTCACCGGATCATCCTCAACTTTTTAAGCCCGCAGAGAGCTGCTGCTCCCGGTGAGGGAGAAACGTCTTCATTAACCGAGCGGGAGGTGAGGAAGATGATGATGAAGAAGAAGAAGAAAGTCTCAGCTACCGTTCAGCTGAGAGTCCGCGAGCGGTGTGAGACTGAGCGCGAGCTGCTGCTGCTGAGAGGGAGCGAGGCACGCGTTCAGAGAGAGAGGGGGGTGGGGGGGGGGGGGGGGGGGGGGGGGGAGTGAGAGAGAGAGGAAGGGAGGAGAGAGAGAGAGAGGAGGGGGGGGAGAGAGAGAGACAGAGAGAGGAGGGGAGAGAGAGGGAGAGGAGAGAGTAAAAGTACTAACACTACAGTGAAAATATACTCCTTTAAAGTATAAAGTACTTAAAGTATTCAAAGTTAAAGTAGGAAACATGCAGGAAAAAAATCATGAATACATTAAAATAATAAATATCTTCCCGAGCTGCAGCTGTGAAATGTTTTTATACAAAAAATTATTTAAAAAATCAAAATAAATGTGTATAAAACTACATATATCTACTTTTACTGAAGTACAAGACCTGGGTACTTCTACTTTTACTCAAGTACAAGATCTGAGTACTTCTACTTTTACTCAAGTACAAGATCTGAGTACTTCTACTTTTACTCAAGTACAAGATCTGAGTACTTCTACTTTTACTCTAGTAATCTGAATACTTCTCTGGTGGATTATGAAGTGATGCAGAAAAAAAAAAATGTATTTAAGTACCTACAATTTCTACAAATACTTACGTTTGATTTGCTGGAACTACGAAAAGTTTCATACGAAAAATGAGAAACAATTAATAACAAAGATGCTGTCTCTGTAAACCCACTACTCACTTCAGGTGTACTTTAATAAACTGTTGGAAAATGTGCTCAAAGTTTCTCAAAGTACTCTATACACTCTGGAGTTATAAAAACAGACAAAACGAAATGAATGTTGAGAGGAAAGAGTGTTATTTAAATAAATGTGTCCGCTGAGGTTTGTTTTTATTACTGACTCTTTTCCACGGCTTCTAATCTGAGTTTATGCCTTTCAGTCAATTCTTACACCCGTAAAAACTCTCGGATAATTCTGCCAAATGTTGAGTATGAGCTCTTTATTTTTCTCATAATTGTCACCCTCTGTCTGAAACCAGAGCCCAGTCTGCTCTGATTGGTTAGCTGGCCGGCTCTGTTGTGATTGGTCAACCGCTTAGAGATTACCCGCCCCTAGGGATGCCGATCGCCGGAATCAGTATCGGCCAATACCGATCGCCGATCCGATCGAGTGGGCGGGGCCTATGGGGATCTTCCATTTAAAGTGATGTTTCAAACTCAGTTAATGCTCATTCACTGACGCTTCCACAAACAACAACCAACATAATTATTACATTCAAATGAAGTTCATTATTCAAGTTTACATTAACTTTGGAGAATAACACGGGAGAAATGAGTGGAAGCACTCTCTTTCCATCTCTCACCCCCTCTCTCCTGACAGCCCGTCAGTATCTCCTGCAGCTCACTGATCCAGTAATGAGTGACCCGACAGTGAAGAATAAACATATGTATAACTAGTTTAGTTTGTTCCAGAGGTAGATAACTCTTAGTGTGTGTTGCTCCGCTCACCGGTCCGTCACAGCGGGTGGAGCTGCAGGATTTCTGCTTCACACACACGTTGCTTACCGCTATTTTATTGTCATTTTCGGACACCTTCAAATACTGCCAGACCGGTGAAGCCATTGTGGCGAGCTTGTTTTGCCGCACAGAGAAAAGTGTCATGTATTTTACGTCATACGATCAGCTCTCGCGATCGGCATTTTTAGAGAGCACCGATCGATCGGCAGAGAGTGAGTATCGGCCGATATCGATCGGCGGCTGATCGATCGGAGCATCCCTACCCGCCCCTTAACCTATCACAGACAATGTGTTTGTTTTTTTATGTGTAAAAGGATGACTTGGCCTTGTGCACTTTTACATGTATTTATGTATTCATTTTTTGTGAATTAATTATTCAAAACATGGGACCCATTTTATTAAATCAAGGAAAAAGTGTGTAATTTGTTGCCTTGATGATTACGTACAATGTGTTGGAGCGCTAGCCAATAGAAGTACAAGTGTTCTTTAGTGATGTCACTATCTTCCAGAACTTTGTGATTTTAGCCTCTGCAGACCGTTTGCATGCACTAAAACCTAGAGAACACACTACAGGGGAGGGAAATCCCCCATAAGGATAACAGGGCCTCTTACAGCGAGTACTTTACTGAAGTATATTTATAGTTTAATAATTGATTTGATGACACGTGTGTGTGTGTGTGTGTGTGTGTGTGTGTGTGTGTGTGTGTGTGTGTGTGTGTGTGATGTGATGTGAGAGGAACATGTGACACACTGACAGCTGGGGGACATATTGATTCTGCACACGACATCAACAGATAACAGTGTAGTGCTATGAGTATGAGAAGTCTATAATATGTGTGTGCGTGTGCGTGTGCGTGTGTGTGTGCGTGTGTGTCACAACATGATTCTGTGACGTTAGCGTGAACATGTTTACTGAGAAAATAAACTGTGACGCACTTGAGTCACATTTCTTAATAAAACAGCTTGTAATGTTTGTTTTCACAGATTTATTCAACATTCATTCGTTATCTTTCCTTCAGGTTTATAATGAGTTTTCAATTGAACATTTACTCGACATTAAGGGAACTCTTTATGCCTCCCTGATGTTCTTTAACAACGGTTTAACACTTTTTCTATGTGTGAATATGCAACCATCTTGAAAGTAATTACGTTTTTATGACATTAATTGAAACAAGCACATTCAAATGGTTAGAGATACATCGACTTATTGTAAGTGGCTTTATATAAAATGTAGTATAATGTCAAAGCTAGAGAGTTTACGCACAGACGTCGTGACGTATGGTACAAAAGAATCCCTCATGAAATGAACTAAGGACGCACCACTTCACGTTTATAGTGCAGAAATCTATTGACATGCATAGCAGTTGCAGAACAAATGTAATTATTAAATGTAAAACCTCACTTGTAAATAATGTGTTGTCGTTTATGTTGCTTGATTGTTGTGTAAGTGTGATGCAGCAGCATAATGTTCCCATAAGAGTCTCTGCATGGAAACAATTGGTCCTTCAGATGTATTTCCATCAGTCGCTTTTCCATTTTCCTACACAAGATGTTGTGATATAAATATGTATGATGTTCAAGCATGGTCTTCACGCTGCATAAAGGGTAATAGAGGAACAGACAGGGGAGATGGGAATATTTCCATTCATTTTGAAGCTGCATATATTTGGTCATTTTAGTAGGAGAAGAAATAGAAATACAGAACATTTTGGTGACTATTATTTGTAATCAGCATATTGTTGCAAGATGAATATGTGTTTTATCTTTATTAGCAGTCAGCAAGTAAGCTATAACACACAAATGGTTAATGACCGAACCTCCAATAACGTCAAACTGGTGAGAAATCATTTTCAATAATCTACAGGTGGATATTCTTGAAAAAATGGGAAAAAAGGGATTATATTTGTGCCGTCGTTAAAAAGATTACTGTATGAACTGGCATGTATTTCCATCACTTTAGCATTATAATGAATGCTAACCGTTCATTCAACTATGTTTAGTTTTAAAGGTCACCTATTCTGCAAAACCCTCTTCTTCATGTCTCTTCTACATCACCATGTGTCCCCTCTTCTTCATGTCTCTTCTACATCACCATGTGTCCCCTCTTCTTCATGTCTCTTCTACATCACCATGTGTCCCCTCTTCTTCATGTCTCTTCTACATCAACATGTGTCCCCTCTTCTTCATGTCTCTTCTACATCAACATGTGTCCCCTCTTCTTCATGTCTCTTCTACATCACCATGTGTCCCCTCTTCTTCATGTCTCTTCTACATCAACATGTGTCCCCTCTTCTTCATGTCTCTTCTACATCAACATGTGTCCCCTCTTCTTCATGTCTCTTCTTCATCAACATGTGTCCCCTCTTCTTCATGTCTCTTCTACATCAACATGTGTCCCCTCTTCTTCATGTCTCTTCTTCATCAACATGTGTCCCCTCTTCTTCATGTCTCTTCTACATCAACATGTGTCCCCTCTTCTTCATGTCTCTTCTTCATCAACATGTGTCCCCTCTTCTTCATGTCTCTTCTACATCAACATGTGTCCCCTCTTCTTCATGTCTCTTCTTCATCAACATGTGTCCCCTCTTCTTCATGTCTCTTCTGCATCAACATGTGTCCCCTCTTCTTCATGTCTCTTCTACATCAACATGTGTCCCCTCTTCTTCATGTCTCTTCTGCATCAACATGTGTCCCCTCTTCTTCATGTCTCTTCTACATCAACATGTGTCCCCTCTTCTTCATGTCTCTTCTTCATCAACATGTGTCCCCTCTTCTTCATGTCTCTTCTACATCAACATGTGTCCCCTCTTCTTCATGTCTCTTCTACATCAACATGTGTCCCCTCTTCTTCATGTCTCTTCTACATCAACATGTGTCCCCTCTTCTTCATGTCTCTTCTACATCAACATGTGTCCCCTCTTCTTCATGTCTCTTCTACATCAACATGTGTCCCCTCTTCTTCATGTCTCTTCTACATCAACATGTGTCCCCTCTTCTTCATGTCTCTTCTACATCAACATGTGTCCCCTCTTCTTCATGTCTCTTCTACATCAACATGTGTCCCCTCTTCTTCATGTCTCTTCTACATCAACATGTGTCCCCTCTTCTTCATGTCTCTTCTGCATCAACATGTGTCCCCTCTTCTTCATGTCTCTTCTACATCAACATGTGTCCCCTCTTCTTCATGTCTCTTCTTCATCAACATGTGTCCCTCTTCTTCTCACATGTGTCCCCTCTTCTTCATGTCTCTTCTACATCAACATGTGTCCCCTCTTCTTCATGTCTCTTCTGCATCAACATGTGTCCCCTCTTCTTCATGTCTCTTCTACATCAACATGTGTCCCCTCTTCTTCATGTCTCTTCTTCATCAACATGTGTCCCCTCTTCTTCATGTCTCTTCTACATCAACATGTGTCCCCTCTTCTTCATGTCTCTTCTACATCAACATGTGTCCCCTCTTCTTCATGTCTCTTCTACA